ACTTTGAACTTTATTAATGAATAGTGAAAAGTCATGAAAAGAATTATTGTATGACATTTTGTGGAAAAAATGGGCTTGGAGATGTGATGTGCATGATGGTGGTTTGATAGTATGACGCCCGTGATGACGCCAAAGCACTAACTAGTGTCCTAGTGAGCTATAGTTTATTTAACTTATACTTTTTTTTTTTTGGTTTGGTCGACAAACATTTCGATGTCTAAGACTAGAGATTTTAAAAGAAGAGAAGAAGCTGTGTTTTGGTTTGTTTAGAAATGTTGATATGTCAATGATGAGTTAAATATTAATGTTCTTCGCGTTTTATTGACTCCTACCCTCATGTACAAAAGTATTTGCACTTATATATGAGTGTTTGAATAATGGATCGCTAATAGAGAGTTTCCTGATCCTCCATGCATGAGTGGAGCGAAATAGAAAATACAAGTATATCAAATACATAAGTATTCAAAAGTTACATGTTATAGCTAAATATTTCTAATTTAGTCATATCTAATTTGTCTTGAAGTGACCAAGGGCACTCATAGTATGTGAGTGGGCCGAGCCACACACAGGCTAGAGGTGACTGTGGCCCGCCTCAGTTCTCATGAACTCCATTGAAGTTTTATATAAAATTTGAAAATTAGTATTTAATTTCATATCTCTTTCAACTATTGGTCCCCCCAATATTTAGCCCTGCCACTACTACCACCAGCTCTATAAGACTTTGAACAAAATATGCAAGAATACAAGTCTTAATTTACTTCTCCATCAGAAATTTCTTCATGTGATTGGCAAGTTATCAGCTCAAAAGGGGTATAGTTTGCTTTGTTGGAAGGATTATTGTTTATAATTTAAAGGACTATATTCCTTTCTTAATCAATATTTGTATAGATGTTTAATGAGCTCGCATGCGTCATGGTATTGTTTTGATACTTCAAATAATGCTAGAGAAACTACTTAAATATGATTACCACTTTGGCAAGAAACTAATAAAGTCGAAATTGAAATTAATTAATTAATTAATTGATATTTCCCAATTAAAATACATCTCTATCATCTCATCAAAGATTCAAGTTTGTGTCTTCCATCCAATCCATTTTTATTTCATTTATGCTCATTGCTTAAATTAGAGCACACGGAAACTTCAAGTCCTCCAAAACTCCAAAACTAAAGTCTTCCTCATGACTTATTGCTTATGGTCATGTTAGAGCAGCTCCAGCGAGGAGCTGGGACACGGGCTGGGGGGGGGGAAAAAAGAAAAAATGGTGTTCCAGCGGTGAGCCCAGGCCCGGGCAGGGAGTGGGTCCCAGCAAGTAGGGTTGGCCCGAAGGCCAGTTCAGCTCGAGGTCCAAAACGAGGGTTGCTAACGTCAGCAACAAAATTTTTAAAAAAAATTCGAAAAAAATGGAAAAAAAAAAAAAAATAATATTTTTTAAAAATAAATACTTAGTCATATTTTTCACTTCCCACACCAAAAATCTTTTTTAAAAATTTTGTCTAAATTAATTATTGCGGTAAAAAAATTTGTGAAAAAAATTAAAAAAATGAATAGTAATTGCCCTTAGCCATGGCAACGAGTGGAAACACAAAATACTATTTGCAAGGGCAACCACTATTCATGTGAATAGTGGCTGCCCTAGCTCCCCCCTTGCCATGGCTAAGGGCAAATGGGTGGAGTTGCTCTTAGGGAGACCAATTTGGGATACCAACTTATGTACCAACTTTCTAATAGAGGTGGTGCCCACCAATACAATGGGTCCCACCATCTATTAGAGCAAGTTCAGCGAGGGGCTGAGCCCAAGGCTGGGGGGGGGGAAGGCAAAAAAACGAAGCTCCAGGCAACCTGGGGGTCCCACCAACTCGGGCTAGCCCGAAGGCTAATTCAGCTTGAGGTCCAACTCGCGGGTTGGGTGACGTCAGCGCTACAGTGATTGTGCTACAGTACTCGCACTACAGTGCCGCTAAAGTCCACGTGTCGCGCTCTGGGCTCTCCGATCAGATTTTTTACTCCAATCCAACGGCAGCCAATTTTTGTGCAATAAAAAAATGAAAAAAAATCAAATTTTTTAATAAAAAATTACTGATTTTTTTTCTATAAATGCCAAAATTTTATCCGATTTAGATATGAAATTTATAATAAATATTGACACATAAGAACCCGGAAATCTTATCCGAAAATATTATCCAAATTAATTATTGAGGTAAAAAAATTTGTGAAAAAAACAAAAAAATGAATAGTAATTGCCCTTAGCCATGGCAACGAGTGGAAACACAAAATACTATTTGCAAGGGCAACCACTATTCATGTGAATAGTGGCTGCCCTAGCTCCCCCCTTGCCATGGCTAAGGGCAAATGGGTGGAGTTGCT